TGGCTAGTAAAGTGACCAAAATGCTGGCTTGCATCCATAGATGCTTCTCAAGCAAATCCCGGAACGTCACTCTCCCCTTGTACTCAGCCTTGGTGAGGCCACAGATGGAGTACTGCGTCCAGTTTTGGGCCCCACAATTCAAAAAGGATGCGGAGAAGCTTGAAAGAGTCCAGAGAAGAGCCACGCACATGATCAGAGGTCAGGAAAACAGACCTTATGGTGACAGGCTGAGAGCTATGGGGCTCTTTAGCCTGAAAAAGCTCAGGCTCAGGGGTGATCTGATTGCCACCTATAAGTTTATCAGGGGTGACCACAAGTATCTGGGGGAATGTTTGTTCACCAGAGCGCCCCAAGGGATGACAAGGTAAAACGGTTATAAACTACTGCAAGACCATTTCAGGCTGGACATAAGGAAGGGTTTCTTTACTGTTCGAGCCCCCACGGTCTGGAATAGCCTGCCATCAGAGGTGGCTCAAGCACCTACACTGAACACCTTCAAGAAAAGCTGGACTTGATGATCTTCCAAGGGAGGTCCCTTCCAGCCCTAATGTCTATGAAATCCCACACACCCAGTGGAGGACCCAAGAGGCCTGGTACCCCCAGTAAGGAGCCACTTGCTAGGTCATATTATGGGGAGAAAACCTATAACGTTATCTAGGAGTTACTATTAAAGTTCACTTGATACTACATCGGATGAGTTGCCGTGTCATTCCTTGAAGGGCTCTGGCAAAAAGAATCCCAGTAGTAATGGGGCGGGCAGGCAGGGAAGCTGCAGCCAGGCAGCTCCTGCCCCAGCATATGGGGCTTCAGCTGCCTTCCATCCACTCTGCCTGCCTGGTACTGTGAGCAACCTTCTGCAGGAACCCGAGTGAGTGGAAGACAGCTGGCAGCTGGAGCCCCACACGCTGGGGCAGGAGCTGCCTGGCTACAGCTAATTTGATTGGGCTCCACAATGTCTGCATATACTGGGCACTTCAGTGGGGCTTTTTGGCATTTTTAAAAACTTTAAAATATATCCCACAAATGCAGTTCCACAAAATGAACGATAGAAGCCTCTTATATATGACTGCAAATTTTAACTAACAGCTTCAAAATGAAAAACTAAACACTTTAAAATTTGGAATTCATAAGCTTCAAATTTAAAGCCTTATTAAGGTGCTCCTCCTAAATGAGCTTTCATTAAAATCAACTATTTCCACAATGTGTTTTGATTTCAACTTATTATTTTCCAAAAGAGTCTTTTGATAGACTCTTTTGCATACCCAAACAAAGGAAAAAGGATTTAAAGCCCAATTTTGCCCCTCTACTTTATTAATTACACAAGTGATTGCCAGGGAACATGTGATTTCTTTTTGTGGGGCCCAAAGTATCTATAGTTTTCTGGATTTTCTCCCACATTGGTGGCAAGAAGGTAGCTTGTGCAGTATCCATAGGAATTCTCATGGACCTGACTGTGAGCTACCATTTCACCACAGGGAAACAACACAGCATGCTTACTCAACTCAAAACCTAGCTATTGTAGTAGGAGTCACCACCTTATGGCTTCAGGGCATAGGTCAGCCACAGAGACTCCTGAAAAGCTTCCCTATAACAACTTCTAGATTTGGTACAGCACTTGAAGGGCATCACTTGCTGAGACAGGACAATAAATCCATACAAAACAGACTGTTGTAAAAAAACCCAAGAGGAATGTCCCAGGGGAGCCGGGGTTACAGGAGGACCCCAGGCCAAAGCAAAAGAAAGCCCCCACTTACCTCCTGCAGGGTCCGAAAGGCGTGGGGAAACGCACGCGGTGAAACCACCCATATGGTTCGTTAGCCACGCTCATATTCATCTGGGGCAGGGTGACGTCAGCTGGAGACGCCACCCAGCAGAGACAAAAAGCTGCCCTGAGGGCGCAGGAGGTGCGCAGGTGAGCGGAGGCTCAACAGGAAAGCCCACACCCTGAGGGGCACAGTTGCTGTGTCCGGGCAGCCCGGGACGGCAGGGCGGAGTCTGGGGAGGCACCGGCAGCAAAGCCGACAGAGGAGCCGACAGTGAAGCCGGCAGCAAAGCCGGTGGAGGCACCAACAGCAAAGCCGGCAAAGGAGCCGGCAGCAAGGCCAATGGAGGCAGAGGCAGCGAAGCTGGTTACAGAACCGGTGGAGGCATCGACAGGCAAGCCAGCGGAGGCACGACCTGGCAGGGAAGCCCTGGAGAGGAGGTAACAAGGGCGGGGCCAACAGGAACCACCAACGGGGATCGCCGCGGGGTGCGGCAGAAGACCCCAAGCAGGGACGGATTAAGTGGCAGACAGGCCCCACTATGTCCCAAGGATAATCGGGTGGGACGCCATACCCAAGCAGGGCAAGCAACTGGGGCTGGGGCACCTAGGCACAGGGAAAACACGGGGCCCATAGGTTAAGGGCACTCTTTATTCCTTTGTGGCCTCCAGGTCCACTGGCCGCATCACTTCGGCTGTCACGGTGGCGGGGATGGCACGCTACGTCACAGGGTGGTTGGGATAGGGCACTAGGGATATGGGTTAGTCAGATCCAGGTCCAAGGGCCTCGAAGTCTTCACGTTCGAGCTGCAACCCGGGGACACAGACTCGTGGCTGGAGGGCCACGGGAGTCTGGAAAAGAAGCCAAGTGGAGCCAAGGATGCCAAAGGGCCAGAAGACCTGCAACCCAAGGTGGCGAGTGGCCGGGGTGTAGGAGAGGTCGGAGCCCCGTGAGTGCCCGCCAAGGGGCGTGACGACCCTGGAGGCTGCCTTGAAGGGGAACCCCTCCACTGAGGTACCATTCGAAGTCGTGGCAGGCAAGTTAAGGGGATCCCCAGATGTCAGCCAGGGTAGCCTTTGGGGTCCACTCACAAGCCCGGGACAGGCTAGACCAATAGTCCGGGCTAAGGCAGCACAAGAACGCCTGGTAGAACAGAGGTGGGCACAAGGAGTTTGTGTTTAATATTAAAAACAATATAAAGCTTTAATATGCTGGTGATTCCTCACCTCAGGAGCTAGGAAGTGCCAGATGCTGAAATAAAGTCACTACTGCACAGAAAAATAAATGAAAATTAAAAATTACTAAACAAAATGCGGGGCAAAAGCTAAACTATCAACATGTTCTACTACCAAAGCAGAAATTAAAGGATGAGCATGATACTCCTACACTGAACCACATCTAAATTCACAGGCAAGTGGCATTAATCTACTAGTGATGAGAGAAGCTGTGCAGCAGAACCATGTTCAACATTAAAATAACAATTGTTATCCACAGCTCTCATACTACCTTACAAAAGCTAGGTAAATCACTTCTACTTCTGTTCTACAAGACAACAAAACTGGAAGGAGGGACTTGCAAGAGTTTGTCTGGAAAGAGGACTAGAACCTAGGCTTCCAGGGTCCAATGTTCCATAGCAACTTATACCTTTTCCCATCCTCAATTACAATATTTCTATGGCTTATGGCAGAAAGTTATCAGAGATCCTGGTTTTCTCTGATAAAAAAAAAAAATCCTCACTTTTCGGATTTAAAGAAGTAACCCCAAATCCACATTTTCCATGATTAAAATGAAACACCACTATATATCTATCTATATATTGCTGGCATTTCATTTTAATCATGAAAAAAATTGGATTTGGGGTTACTTCTTTAAATCTAAAGAAGTGAGGATTTTTTTTAAATTAGAGAAAGCCAGGATCCCTCGTTGTTATTGACATTCCACACACTATATAGGAAAGTATGAAGTTTAGTCTAGGACAAAGATTTTTCAGAAGGTTTGGGGGGGATGGTGGGGGGGTTTAAACGCATTTAAAGTATATTTTAAAGCAACTGTAACAAGTTCTATGCCTTTCAAGTTATTGCACTACATAACTTTACTTTAAAACACACATCTCAGATTAAGAAGTCTAGTCCAGTTTAGTTATCAGAAAATAGTTATCAGAAATATTGATAAAGCAACAAATTTATACCCCTTAAGATCTTCAATTACAGCATGTAGACCTAGGCAAAAAAAAGAAAAATCTATTGGAGTGATCTAAAGATGCCAATAAACTATTATTCAGTATTTTGTCTATTCCATACAAGATGATTGGCACAACAGATACCCAGGTCTCTGCTGAGCATATGAACAAGTGTACGAGATGGTGCCCCTGGACTGCATGAAGTTGATATCTGCTCTCTAAAAACTAAGCTGATACTAGAATTCATTAGGCTGAAGAACCAACAAGGACTTTTGGACATTACCAGACTGTGCTATATTTGAAAAGTTTAATATCCAATTTTAAGCCTCAATCTTTTTATTATTTAATGAGGGAAACAAATACAAGGCACAGAATGTCTCTTAAAATATCTGCCGTACCTTGAAAGCTTTGTTTTTCTCCTCTTTCTGCTGTATCTCTACTTCCACATGGCGTGCTAGGCGAGCTAGGGTTGAAGCAACCCTTTCTTTCTGATAGTCAATGTGATCTTTACGTTTTACTTTTCTCTATAATTAAAAGAAAAACAAGTTAATTTCATAATTGCTATACAGTGAAAAAACAAAAACAAAACAAAAAACCACCACAGGGTCAAGAAAAGGCTATTTTACACAAGACTCGCAGCTGGAGATGGAACTCAGTACTCCCTCCACCCCTACAGCAAGCATCATAATCACCAGTCCACAAAGTCTCCTTCACTCCCTTTCTGGTTCTGTATCCTGCATTCTGTTTATTTATTTATTTAACACATGACAGCTTTGGTAGGACACATACCTCAACTAGTTTTGACACTGCTCCTAGAAAGCAGGAAAGGTGGGTTTGAGCCTTCTTGGGCTCAGATGGACTTTGAAACCAAGTCTCCCGCTTTTAGAATGAATGCCATGCTGTTATATAAAACATGGGGCCACAGAGCCACCTCCTTCTAGTGCTGTATTTCACAACTCAAACAGCCATTACTGCATTTTGTAAGAGATGGGAAAGAATCCTATTGGTATGCATGGAGTATGCTCCAGACTTGCCAACCAGACTGGAACCAAGAAGATTTCTAATTTCCAGATCTCATTAAGCAAGAGATCAGCAACCCTGTTCTTCTGATCTGTCCAGATCTTTTTCAGCCTAAAATGAAACTCCAAGTCTACAGGAACTTACAAGGCACCTTCCTGTTTGATCTGAATGTTCACATACTTGCCCATTAGGAAGGCACTGAATGAGTGCTTTATGAACTGCAATTCTGAACTCAAGTGCCCCAACTCCACTTAAAATCCCTTTTGGGACCTGGCCTAAGCACCGGTAGGAGGGAAATATTGCAGCTGGTGCTACTGTGAATACATTTTCATCCAGTGAAGGAACAGACAGTAGCACCAGCTATGAAAGTAATGTAATGTACTATTTACCTGTCTGTAAGAGGGTTTTAGGTTTTATTTGGGGGTGGGGGTAGGGGAAGAGAAGAAGAGATTATCCCCAATACTTTTGTTTAGTAACTATAAAAAGATAGCTGACTGCTAAACACTTTACACATCTTTTATTTTCACTGTAATTGCAAGTCAGAACTGCGAAGAAGCTACATAAAAGACATAAAACCAGGGCATTTGGAGAAGTACTATTTGGAATTATCATCTGAAAAAACACACTCACATGAATGCTGGCACTGCTGCTAGGCTCTTCATCTTCACTACTGACAAGGTCAATACATTCTAGCACAGGTCTCAAAGGCCCTTCCTAAACAGGGTTGAAACAAGGAAGAATAAATAAAATATATCCATATATATTAACATTTTGTATATCCTTCTATATTATCTATCAGGGAATTTCATGGGGAATTCAGGAAATTTTACTGATGGTTATCCTTAGCACCTGCTACAACAAAATCATAAACAAAAATAAAGCTGGAAGGGATCTCAGGAAGTCATCTGTCATCTATTCCAACCAACTGCTCAAAGCAGAAACAAGCCACGTAAACATTTGATCTGCACTTTCAAAAAAAGAACAACACTATCTTCCAATCAGAGATGTGGGGCAGAAAATTTTCCAGTGATTTACTTTTTCATGGGAAATTTTCCATTTCTAAAAATTCATTGTTTCATAAAATTCATTGGTAACAATGAATGGATGTCAATACAATATTAGGCAAGCTTGGCAGTTTCAAAGATGTAATTAATGTTTTTCAGGTGATTATCCCTAGGAAGTGTGCAAGAGGGTACATATAGGTTTTACTGATTTGTAAACAGGAGGGTAAATACACTTACATAATAACCCAAACCAAAAATCAAGTTATGAATTCACCTAATTGGCTGTTCAGGTCAAATCAAAACCAAAGCACAGCATATCATGCACAGTTCTTTGGGTGTGCTGAAATGAGTGCGTCAGTTTTCATAGATTCATTAGGGCTGGAAGGGATCTTGGAAGATCATCAAGTCCAGCCCCCTGCCCCAGGGGCAGGAAGTCAGCAGGGATCATAGGATCCCAGTAAGATAATCATCCAAATTTCTCTTGAAGGTGTTCAAAGTAGGTGCTTGAACCACCTCCGGCTGCAGTCTATTCCAGACCTTGGGGGCTTGGACTGTAAAGAAGTTTTTCCTTATGTCCAGCCTGAAACAGTCATGGAGGAGTTTGTGACCGTTCGACCTTGTCATCCCTCGGGGTGCTCTGGTGAACAGACGTTCCCCCAAATCCTGGTGAGCACCCCGATAAACTTCTAAGTGGCCACCAGATCACTTCTGAGCCAGTGCTTTTCCAGGCTGAAGAGTCCCATGGCTCTCAGCCTCTCATCATAAGGTCTGTTTTCCTGACCTCTGATCGTGTGTAGTGCCTTCGCTTTTTTCCTTAAATTTAAATAAAATACGTAAGCGAAGTACATGCTATTCTGTACTGTCTTTACATTTTTACAAATATTCCAATACAAGTAGTTTCTCTGTCTACATAAAGCTCTGAATGTTTGAATATAACTTTTAAACCACATTAAGTGTGCTGTATTCAATTTTCTCTTAATCAAATATTTCAGTTCAAATACTTGTGGCTATTGGGACATAAAATTAACATGAGAGTACTTTTTTAGTTTTTCACTCTATTTAGGGCACTGTAAAATTTTCCAGGAAACCTACATCTCTGCTTCCAATGACTGATTCCACCCCACTGGAAATCTGTCCCAGTATTTAACCACCTCGCAGGAAAAACTTTCTATTTTGTATGCAATCTAAATTTTCCTTTACTTGGACCACTTGCATACCACATCTCCTTCTTCATTTCTCTTCTTTATTGCTCATGCATTTCTTTCTCAATATAAACGTCAATTCATAATACCAGTTTGAGACCCCTAATTTTATTTCTCATCCGTTTACTTTCCACACACTACCCCTGTCCCAGCCGCCTGCGGAGGGTTCGGAATTGAGAGTGTGGTCGGGGGTAGAAAGGTAAGAAAGATTTATTGACTTAACAAAAACACAACTACGCGTAGTAACAAGACAAAAGCAATTTGCGTCAGCAACTTATCGACAGTCCCCTCTGATGCCTGATACACGGCAAGCTTCTCTTTCCACAAAGTTCAGCCAAGTCAGGCGTCCCCGAACAACGCTGTCCGAGGGGTACCGGGAAGGACCCTGGAATGCAGTCCTTGGGCTCCTCGAGGTCCACGGGCCCACTGATCGAGGCAACAGCTAACTAATCCTTTTCACAGAGCTGTATCTTCCTTCTGAATGGTTTGCAGATATTCCAGCCAATTTAAAGCTTCTGAATGGTTCTGATAACGTACAACCACTCAGATTCCTTTTACTTCAACTGTCCTTAGACTGACCAATTAGCAGTACAAGCTTTGCATTCCTTTGATAAGGTAATTTTAACTACACCACAGGGCCTTACTACTCCTAGGCTTTGCTAAATTTACTAGGCCTTACTTTATACAAGGCCTCACTACATCTTAAACTTTAATTAGATTTTTAGCAACAACATATAGCTTAATATCTAAACAAATACAGAAAAACACTTGGTCTAATCTTCATAGGGCCTTTAGCAAGCACCTTTATCACACAGGCATAATTTCAGCTGTCACAACCCCCATTTTTAATTAGGTGTGTGATGTTTAAGGGCAAGGGTGTCAAGTTCAACCCTCCTCACAAGCCAGATCCAGATGAAACTAGGAGAGGAAGAGGAATGGGTGATGATGACACACCTGTTTCATAGCTGGTAGAGTTGGAAGGGACCTGAACAGATCATAAAGTCTGACCCCCGGCCATGGCAGGAAAGAGTACCAAGGTTAAAACGACCCCAGCAAGGTGTTCATCCAGCCTCCTCTTAAAGACCCCCAGGGTAGGAGCCAGCACCACTTCTCTTGGAAGTTGGTTCCAGATCCTAGCCGCCCTGACAGCGAAGTAGTGCCTCCTGATATCTAGCCTGAATCTATCCTCTGCCAGTTTGTGACCATTATTTCTTGTCACTCCTGGTAGTGCTCGGGGGAACAGGGACTCCCTCAATGCCTGCTGATCCCCCCTGACTAGTCTGTAAACGGCCACTAGATCCCCCCCTTAGCCTTCTCTTGTGAAGGCTAAACAGGTTCAGGTCCCTTAGCCTCTCCTCGTAGGGCCTGCCCTGCTGACCCCTGTTGCTTGCTCCCCGACACCAAAATATCCTCAACAGGACTAAATGCCAAATTTTGGTAACCAGCCCCATCCCTGCTTTACCACCCTTGAATTTCCAGCCCCCTTGGAAGTCCTGCAGACCTGAAAACATGGCTCCACGAGCCAAATGCAGTCTGCAGGCTGTACACATGACATGCCTAATTTATATCTGTTTACTGTTAAGGAGCCCTATTATTTGAACAACTCCTGTTTACTTCCACTGTATCAAGGGAAGAGTTTCTTATGAAGAGCTGGAATGCTGGACATACTAACCAATGAAACTCAATCCAAAGCAAAAGTCAGTCTAGAACCAAAAAGCTACTCATCAGAACAGTTAAGAGTGAGGCAACAGAGTTATTACAACCGTCCTTCTTACTTACTTAACAATCTTCAGTGCTTAACATTGAAAATAAGTTTATGATTCCCTCCTCCTTAAATCTACTACTTCCACAAGCTGGTTATGGAGACTTACAAAAGCAACACTATCACATTCTTCTATGCCACCAACCTGCTAAGCGAATTGGCCAGAATTTCAGCTACCAGTAAAACATCTAAATTTAAAACAACACAGGGCTGTATTCACGTTCTAGAACCCTCCAGTCTCTGCTGTTATTCAGAGTTTGACATGGGAACAGAGTGAAATTAACAAAACTGGCATTAGTCTCATCCCTTCTATCCATGATCCCAGTTAAAACAGCAAAAATAGCCAGGCACTCAATTTCCACTGACTTTCAGCAAGAATCTTGTATCTAATTCTCCTTTGTAACTTTAAAGTATGACAAGGAAAGCTAAGTCAGTCAACCCAATGACTGAGTGGAGGTCACCTCTGGAAAGGTCAATAAGGAAGCCCAAGTATTTTAAGACAGAAAAGCAAGGTGTAACTACAGGCAGCCCTCGGACTTGCAACACAATTTGTTCCTGACAACCGGTCTGAAGTCGAAACGTTGTAACTTGGAACCAATTTTCTCATAAGAAACAAAGTTATAAACGGGGGGATTCATTCCTGAACCAAGGCCTAATACCCTATTTTCACCAAAAATACCCCAGAATTTTGTATTCAATCAATTATAGATGAGTAATATAGCTACAGTATAAATACATTAATGTAAATAGCAATCATATTGATTTGAAAGGACTTCTTTGAGGTGACTTTGCTGGACTTTTTGAAAGGCTCTTAGTTGGACTTTTTGAAGGGTTCTTGGCCGGAGCCTTCGCAGGAGTCTTAGCTGCAGGTTTTTCTGGAATCTTGCCCGCTTTCTTTAAGAAAGTGTCCAAGGAAGTTTGGACAGATGTTCTCCAGGAAGATGAGCAACTCAGTAAGCTTGGTCACTGGAGCGGCATCGCATCGGATCTAACGGTGTAAAGTCAAAACTGATGTCATAAACATTGAAACAGTGTCAATTTATACATGTTGCAAGTGTGAACCATTGCAAGTCAAAACGTTGTAAGTCAAGGACTGCCTATATAGGAATTATGCATAATACAGATTCTGAATACTGCTGGAGGCTATTCAAGAACTTGGAGGCTGTTCAAGAACAAGTTCATATTCAAGAACTTACAGTTATCCTTACTTAAATTGTGATTCATATAATTTGTTCAAAGTAAATAATGTGCAAGGCAGGAGTGCCATGCTTTCATCTCTGAATAAGATGGCCATTAAGGGTGCTGACAGACATGAAGGAAAAAAAAAACCAAGAAAGAGAAGCATGTTAGTTCAATCTGGCTCCTCAGAGTCTGTATAAATTGGGCAATTCAGCAGGGCCTTATAGCACTTTTATCAAATAACTGATTTAATCATCTATTAGGTAAAAATGCTAAATAGCCCCACTGAAGTGCCTGATCTATATTAGACATTGGGTGAGCTGGGTCAAAATAATGCAATGCCTCTTGTGGGCATAAATAGGCTGCATTTGGTGCAAGGGCACGCCAAGCTGAAAGTAAAGAAACAAGTGAAAAACTAAGAGGTTTTATTTTCTGAGGGGTGCATCAAGTCTACCAAGGGGTTTCTTGAGTCTAAAAATGTTAGGAACCACTGTTCTAGAAGGTATACTAAACAGTTTGTGCTTGTGGATTGTGTCAGAGTAACCAGAGCTATAAACTACAAGTGCACCGATACATCAGTCCACTATCGGAAATCGGCACCAATATAAAGAAAACTGTCTATATCGGAAATCAGCCTGATGTGGCTGATAAATGGCCCGTGCATGCACGCAGCTGCAGTGCAGCACATAGGCAGTGAGAAGCACAGCCTGCAGCGTGGAGAGCTGCATTAAGCTGGTAAGTGTGTTATGGTGGAAGGGGAGGGGCAGGGGGGGGGTGCAGATCAAGGACACCACAGTGAGGAGGGAGTGGGGCTGTGGCAGGTGCTGCCCAGCCAGGGGGCAGGGGAAAGCATGGGATGGAGCCGCGGCTCATCCAGTGTGGGAAGTGGGGGCGAGGGCAGCTCATCTGCTTACCTGGCAGTTTCGCTGCTGCTCCCATAGCTCTTCCTGGAGGGGCCCCTGTGCCCCTGGATCTATGCAGGGTATGCTGCAGTGGCACTGGGAGGGGGGTTATGGGAAGGGTACGGCAATTTCTGGGGTAGGTGCAGGCCTCCCTCGTAGCCCCCTCCTAGTGCTGCCGCCTCCCCAGCACTACCCCAGACTGCAGCTGAAGCCTGCCCCACCTGTGCCTCATGCAGATCCAGGGCACATGCCCCTCCCCATAGAGCGAAAGCGAGCACTGGCTGATCCCAGAAGCGCCTGCAGCCAATCCCAGAAGGGACCACCCCTGGGCATCGAGACTGGCCACGGGGAACCCCCGCAGCAAAACTAAGTTGATACCAGTTGCCCATGCCACCATCCACCACCCTGCACCACCACTCCTCATGCAGCCACTACTCCCTGATGGAGTGTATTTTTAAAAAGTGCCGGATTTTTGAGAATTCTGAAAAATGGATTTATGAGGTTATATTCTATCATAAAATCCTCCAAATAAACAAGTATTTCTCTTATTCCTATTACATTAATTTAAGGTTGGAGTCTTGTTGTAGCCATGATGGTGCAGGAAATGCATGAGAAATGAAGCTTTTTTTGTGGTATTTTCTACTGGACCAACTGAATGATGTCCAGCGTTGTCTCCTAACTATGCAGTTGGCCCAGTAACAGATACCAAAAAAAAAAACCGTGAGTAATTGTACAATTATTTTAGATGGAAAATATTTTTTAATCGATTAAACTAATTTCTACAATGCAATACCATCTTCTATTGGTAGGGTAGTATGTATACAGGAATCTTATCAGCCCAATGATAAATGCAGTAAAAGGGTCTTCATTATATCAGTCCAGAGCATACACAAAGTACAATTTCAGAAACCATACTCCCAACTTCTGAAACATTTCATGCTGTTTCTAATTTATTCTGTATGGAATAACCCACTTTATGTATAGGCCAAATATATTATAAATCAAGACTCTGGTGAACTTTCAAAAGTAATGGCCAATAAAGATACAGAATATGTCATATTTTAAAACTTACTTTCACCATTACTAATCATTTCAAGTTAATATTAAATAAAAGTAATAGATCTGTGATTAAGTTTTAAGCTTAATAAATAAGCCTTATTTATTTCCTGGTCAGCAACATTTCCTAGTTTAACACCTAGTAATTGTAATTGGATCAAGGAAAAAAAAGAATCTCCATATACTAATTGCCTACCTATCCTGCTGACAGCCTACAATAGAGAAAAGTATTCTTCCCTGCCTCATGTACCAACCAACGGAGCACCAGGTGAGCTCCGCCACTGAACAACTGACGTGTGAAACCCAGTCCGCTATAGCACTTTTTGTTTAAGTGAAAGATGGTATAGTAAAGGGGGAACAAGACAGAGTGGGGGTACGGACATGTTGTACCACCTAAGTCTGCTGCTGTTACCTATCATGGATCATGCTGCTTTCAGGGAAGTCCTAACATAGAGCTGCCCCTGAGAAGCCTTGTGCAGTCTGCCTGTCCTGATAGGAACCCCTGAACCCAGTCCTGGGATGAAGTCAGGGTGCTAACCCACCTTGCCTTTCCCTTGTGTTTATTAGAAAGCACAGTGATTGAAGTGCTTGCTTATTAGCTTGGTATTAAGGAATCAATCTTCCCATCAAACTGTTGGGACTCCAGGTCCACAGTCACCACTTACCAGGACTTTAAAGCAGGCAGATGGTAATGAAAAAAGTTTTTCCCCTCTCTACAGTAATCAACTAGCGTAGTAGTTGGAAGCCTGTCATTTATTACCAGTTAGTTTTCATCACACCAAACATTATCCTGTGCACAAGGAGACTGTATCCTCACTCAAAGTGTGAGAACAAGGGTAATTACAGAACAGACTCATTAAAAGTCTGCACAATTCACTGTAAAACTGAACTGTTATTTTAGTTACAGCTTCCTCCCACAGTCCTTCAACCCACTGCAGATGCAAAATTTCCCTTATTTAAATTTTGTTTGCGTACAACTTGTTCTTAAGCAGCTTCCCTGATAACTAAGTCATCCCTCCATTCTTCCTTGTCTCCTTCCACTACTATACTGTTTCACTGATAGTAGTGACACCAACATAAATGCAAAATTATCCACACCTCATTTCCCTCATAAGCAAACTTCTTGCCACAGCTTTGCTGCTACAGGGCAGTCACCAGCAGCCCAGCACACCCAGCTCTAGCCCAACCCTGCCAATCCCACCCCCTGCTCCCTCCAGCTGCAGTTCTGGTCCTCTGGGGCAGTCAATAGTAGTCTGGCACCTGCCCTGCCTGGTCACAGAGAAGCAGCAGCAGCAGCTCCTAGCCTGGCAAGATTGGGGCTAAAGGAACCAGAGCAAAAGGGAAGGGGAGCAGGGGATAGGAGGGCTCAGCCACAAAAATGGGGGAGAATGGGGTGGGAGAGAGAGGCTGCAGGCCCTCCCCTCTCAAGTGTCCCCATGCTCCTCCTCCCCTACCAAACAAGCTATTCCAGCCCAAGGCAAGCCATGGCTCAGCTTCATCTTCAGTCAGGGGCCCAAAGTCAAAGCTGGAGCTAAGCTAACCCACCTACCCCAAGCCGGTGTTCAAATCCAAGATAAAGCTTTCCCTCCCCAACCCCCAGGCTGACGGGGAAAAACCCCCATCTTGGATTCAAGTAAATATGATAACACCTAGTAATTTTCCTCTCTTCAGCAGGTAGCACCACAGAGTCAGGTTCTGGCACCCGAGGGAGTACTTTATTCCACAAACAAACCGTCTCAAGGATTTTAAAGGGACTGGGATTGCTTGTGGAGTAAGAAATGCACCCTCTAGGATTACACCCGCTACTGTCCCAGTGAACTGTCCAGTTTTTCCATGCACCTGCCTGACAACTTTGTTCACCTGGCTCCTCTGCTCAGTCATTTGCTCCTACCAGAGGCAAGTAATCCCCAATACAACCAGCTTTACTGCAATTTCTCAAGCTTCCATGAAGCCCTCAGGCACCACCTGTCTGAACCTGCACAGAACTCAGCAGAACCGTGGCCTCAAGTCAACAATGCCCTGTCGCTATCGATTTCCTTCTCCCAAGCCCTGCAGCTCCTGGCAAAGACCTGGTTTTTTTCTTTCGCAGTAAATGAAACGCAAGCCTAGGGAGCACATGTGAGGGGGGGGGGAAGGGGCAGAGGGTGAGGAAGGGGCTCCACTTCCACAGCGTCTGGACTGACACTGAGACCTTGCTTTGGAGCAGCATTTTTCAACTTGTGGGTCATGACTCAAAAGTGGGTCTCAAGACTATTTAAAAGGGTCCTGAGCTGTGGCAGGGTAGAAAGATAGAAGGAAGGGGCGGGGGGAGAGCTGCATCGCGGCGCTGGCACAGGACCTGGTGCCCATGCCTGCTGGGGCAGAGCAGCCAGGAGGCTGGTGGGGGCAGGAGGGGCCAGGACCAGGCTGCTTGGCATGGTGCAGCCTTGCAGCCCCAGCCCAGGGAAGGCTCGGTGCCACAGGCCTCTCCTCCTCCCCCCTCCAGCCTGTGCAGGGGCCAGACCTGTTTTGCTGCCGCAGCTACTGCGCGAGTGGGATGGGGGCAGCTGGGGGGCCCTGTGGCAGAGCGCAAGGAGGGGCGGAGGGCAGTGGGCTGCGGGTCAGTACTGAGGGACACCAGCATGGGAGACTGGGGCCCAGGCCCCAGCGGCAAGGCTCACGCTGACGAACTGCACG